TAATGGATGTGTAGAATCCTCCTATGTATGTAGATCCTGCAAAGGAGTTGCAGATTCCCTCACTTGATCGTTGTGGACAAATCAGTAGAAAATAAAACGTTGAAAAAATAGAAAGTAAAAAGTAAAAAGTCCAGTACAATATCCTGGGTGAGTAAAACGCTGTGCGCTTCGTTCAAACAGCTTTGTAGAAATCACAAGCTGGAACCTAATCATCCATGGGTTTATAAAATCATACTTCTAAATGGTTCAGAATTCCCGAAGACAACCACATAGTGGGAGAGATAGAAAGGTGAAATGCTAACTGACCAAGAGTATGATAAAATCTACATTTTCACACACAAATGCTCCATCAGCTCGAAATTCCAAGAAACAAGCTACAAGCTACTGTCCAGCTGGTACAGAACCCCAGACACACTACATCACATAAACACAGATGACTGCTGGAGATGCTGTGCTGAGGTCGGCATCATGTTCCACATATGGTGGACTTGCCCAGTTATAGCCCCCTTCTGGACGAGAGATTACAGACTCTAACCGGCTGCTCCAGCCTCTCCCCATGCTTCTACACCACGCAAACATGACCCTTAAGACCTACAATAAGTCCCTGACCAAACGTACTGACAGCGGCAAAATCCCTCACTCCTACGCTCTGGAAGTGGGCGGGTGCGCCATCCTTCCAGCAATGGGTTGACTGCAGCCCTATAAGGTTGTTCAGATTGCAGTACAAAGACGTGGACCCTATGGCTATTGTACATATCCGCCAACAACACAAGCAATTAAACTTCCCCTCCCCCCCCTTTTTTCCCCTATTGCTCCCCCTCTCACCCTAACCCCGATGCACCAGAAGACTTTCCCCATTACTTACCCCACCCCGACTGACTGAAGTCACAGTGATTTGCCCATGGAAGTCACCATCTACCAGTTTTGTATCACCAGAATTTGTAGACGAACTGATGGTATAACCTTGTGACTTTTGACACACCAGTTTTTGTGAAAAGATATATTTTACTTCGTTGACGTACAGCAGTAGAAATGAAGTTAATTAATTATCTGAAATGAAGTTAATTATCTGAAATGAAGTTAATTAATGCTAAATGTAATCAATATCATTATACAACAAGTGCTTGCTGAACATTCTGAACTCAGCTATGCTACCTGTTCACTGCTGTATCAATATGCTTTGACTTCTACAAAAATAAAGATTGACAAAAAAAAAAAAAAATTTTTTTTTCACTTTTACCATTTAACGGAGCACTCCAGACCCCTAAAGCACTTCAGCTTGTGATGAGAAGCATTGCTAACAAGATACATTGATTTAACGGGAAGATCATCATGAATGAACATCTCCCAGCAGGCAGAATAGTAGCAAGAAGAGGCTGAAATGTTCCTTTAATTATTTTCCTGAGTGTACAGAATGTAGTCTTTAAATGTATTTAAATAAGTCTGCAATGTTCAGTCTCTGCATTATGGCATGGTATTATTTATATGTGCCGAAGAGAATGGCTCCTCTGCCCTGTCCAGTTCATGTATGTACATAGCAGTGGTTTACAGTGCCATGGTGAAATGTAACTCGGGCCCTAGACAAGATGGGAAAGAGAGAAACATGGAGAGACTCTGATTGAAAGTGATTTAAGCAGTCAGAGACTGTGTGGAAGATCAACAGAGTCAGGAACACAGACGATGCAGATCTGGAATTGAAAAATATTAGGCTGTCATTAAAAATTGAAGTCACCCAGGCAGTGGACCTATAAAATGTTGCCATTTTGCAGGAACAGCAATATTTATCTTTAAGGGTTAAATATGCCACAAGTGGCTGTCTAGTGTCATTACAGCTGAACCGACCATGTCAAATCCTGTCAAGAGAGATGTTAACGTCATCAATGGCAGCTCATAGGAAAGCATTCAATGCAATGCTTGCCTATGGGGAAAGTTGAATGAAGAGCATTGGATTGGACCATCCCCAGAGGAAGCCATCATAATAATGATGAAGGAATAGATGAGCAGAACAGATGAAGTCTGGCCACTGGGAAAGGGAAGTAAAAACCATTTTACAGTAAGCTATAGTGGTTATGGTGCTTTAAATCCACCCCTTATACTATCAGTTTAATTTGCATATATTATGTAATGGTTTGTCTGTCTAACATAAAATTATTATAAATTGCTCCTGTGGCAAACCTAGCCACTTGGACATTATATAAAGACTATAGCTTTAAGGGTTGCCTGTGCTGTTTTGAGGATGCGTATGTTCCTGTATGTATAGACTGTGATTGCCTAACATTGTATTACCTGCATTGGCTATCTGCCTAAAGCAGATAGCTGATTTCCTTTAGAACCGAATAAGACCCACATGTATAGCCCACACATTGAGAGACGTGTGGCGCTCGTTAACCGATTGCAACATTGTTCTAATTAGAGGCTCTCCTAGGTGGCCGTCGTTCGACTACCGACCATGCGGCGGTCGGCCATTTTGGATCCTTTGTTCCTCCAGCGGTGTTTGGTCGTCGAGCGCGTGGTACTAAAAACGGCTACTCGACGGCGTTCGGGAGTTCCGGGCCGTTCGGTATTTTATTCCCCATATGCCAATCGGTCTTTTAAATGCATGTTTTGGTGAATATGTTTTTCGTGCGGCGTTCGGTTGTTTTAGCTGGGATCTGAGCGGTAATCTCACGAATGATGCGCTCAGACCCCAGCTATCTACCGAACGTCCATTTGTGTAAATAGACCTAATATTCGAAAAGTTGTGTGTTTTAATATAAATTGTCGGTTCTGCTGCACGGAGGGATAATCCACTTAACGGTACATTCCAGTGGGAGGATCCCTCTCGTGCAGCAGTGCCTGATGGGAGAAATGCTCTGTACTGTAAGTTCCCCATGTAGTCCACTCCTGGAATACCCCTGGGATAGGACTCAGGAAACCCCTTGCATGGGGAATTGTATAAATTGTGGAGCCTGTGAATAAAGCCTCAGTTGACTCCCAGAACAGTGTTTCGTCCGGATACTGGGGGGATTTGGGATATTGACTTCCTTTTCAGCGCTGACTGTGGATTACCGAAGATACCAGCGGAATTCATGTGTTTTAATACTGCCGATCCGCTACAGCCCCTTCTTCTATATCTACCTCAACACCTATTTAAACACACAGTTTCCATCTTGTCCTTTAAGTAATAAGTACATATGCTAACAATTTGCCATCATAACCCTCATCTAAGATGGCCGCCCTCTCACACTACTCAGACATTTTATTACCCGAGATACTACATTTCCCACAATACCCTGCAATCACGATCACCAATTTTTCCTTTTTCTGTGGCTAATTTTGACCAATACAGGGAGTGCAGAATTATTAGGCAAATGAGTATTTTGACCACATCATCCTCTTTATGCATGTTGTCTTACTCCAAGCTGTATAGGCTCGAAAGCCTACTACCAATTAAGCATATTAGGTGATGTGCATCTCTGTAATGAGAAGGGGTGTGGTCTAATGACATCAACACCCTATATCAGGTGTGCATAATTATTAGGCAACTTCTTTCCTTTGGCAAAATGGGTCAAAAGAAGGACTTGACAGGCTCAGAAAAGTCAAAAATAGTGAGATATCTTGCAGAGGGATGCAGCACTCTTAAAATTGCAAAGCTTCTGAAGCGTGATCATCGAACAATCAAGCGTTTCATTCAAAATAGTCAACAGGGTTGCAAGAAGCGTGTGGAAAAACCAAGGCGCAAAATAACTGCCCATGAACTGAGAAAAGTCAAGCGTGCAGCTGCCACGATGCCACTTGCCACCAGTTTGGCCATATTTCAGAGCTGCAACATCACTGGAGTGCCCAAAAGCACAAGGTGTGCAATACTCAGAGACATGGCCAAGGTAAGAAGGCTGAAAGACGACCACCACTGAACAAGACACACAAGCTGAAACGTCAAGACTGGGCCAAGAAATATCTCAAGACTGATTTTTCTAAGGTTTTATGGACTGATGAAATGAGAGTGAGTCTTGATGGGCCAGATGGATGGGCCCGTGGCTGGATTGGTAAAGGGCAGAGAGCTCCAGTCGACTCAGGCGCCAGCAAGGTGGAGGTGGAGTACTGGTTTGGGCTGGTATCATCAAAGATGACTTAATGGGGCCTTTTCGAGTAAAGAAGAAAATCTAATGACATGCCTCCTTGTTCACCTGATCTGAACCCCATTGAGAACCTGTGGTCCATCATCAAATGTGAGATTTACAAGGAGGGAAAACAGTACACTCTCTGAACAGTGTCTGGGAGGCTGTGGTTGCTGCTGCACTAATGTTGATGGTGAACAGATCAAAACACTGACAGAATCCATGGATGGCAGGTGAGTGTCTATATATTGGTCACTGATTTGTTTTTTTTTGTTTTTTTGAATGTCAGAAATGTATATTTGTGAATGTTGAGATGTTATATTGGTTTCACTGGTAATAATAAATAATTGAAATGGGTATATATTTGTTTTTTGTTAAGTTGCCTAATAATTATGCACAGTAATAGTCACCTGCACACACAGATATCCCCCTAACATAGCTATAACTAAAAACAAACTAAAACCTACTTCCAAAAATATTCAGCTTTGATATTAATGAGTTTTTTGGGTTCATTGAGAACATGGTTGTTGTTCAATAATAAAATTAATCCTCAAAAATACAACTTGCCTAATAATTCTGCACTCCCTGTATATCTTCTATACACTAATCCTTACATGTTTACCCCTCACCCAACCCTATATAACCAGGGCCGGACTGGGGATTCCAAAGCAGCCCTGGAAAAAATATATGCCAGCCCCGTAAGTCATTGCGACATATATTGTTGCATGTAATATGTAAGGCTATGTCTTGCCACCCTAGATGATTGATATATATATATATATATATATTTTTTTTTTTTTCAATATAAAATATTGGTCCTTTCTGAGTAAAATTTTTAATTATACAGTAAGCATACTCAAATGCAGACACAGACAATCTCACTGACACAAGTTGATTGATACACAGCATCAAAGACAAACAATCTCACTGATATACATAAGGTCATTGACATAAAAACACAAGCTCACTCAGTAGCAGGCACACACACACACAAGCAAGCCCACTCACTAGCAGGCGTGCACACACACAGCTTAATGTAGTGGCTCTGGTGTCTATAGCCTGTCCCTGCAGGCTTTTCAATGTAAACACTGACTTTTTAGTGTAGAGGCAGGGCCAGTCGAGGGGAGACCAGCACGACGTGGGGGAGGTGAGTAAAAACACACATACACACACACATACCATGACAGACACACACCATGACACAGACAGACCGTGACACAGACACACACAGACACACACACACCGTGACACAGACAGAAACACAGACACACCATGACAGACAGACACACACACACACACACACACCATGACAGAGACACACACATACCATGACAGACACACACCTTAAAAAAGACACACACACACACCTTGACACACACACACACACACCATAACACAGACAGACTGTGACACAGACACACACACACACCGTGACACAGACACACATTACATGGCACAGACAGACACACACACACCACGACACAGAGAGACCTAGACACAGACACACACACACACCGTGACACAGAGAGACACACATTACCTGACACAGACAGACACACACACACCATGACATACAGACACACACACCATGACAAACACACACACACTATGACACAGACAGACCGTGACACAGACAGACACACATTACATGACAGACAGACACACACACATTGCATGACACAGACAGACGCACACACCATGACAGACAGAGACACACACACCATGACACAGACAGACACACACAATGACACAGACACACATTGCATGACACAGACACACACACACCATGACACAGACAGATACACACACACACCATGACACAGACAGACACACCATGACAGAAACACACACACACACACATAATTTCTACCTGTGCTGGCATGGGGAGCTCTGATGGCGGATGCATGGGGGAGCTGGCTCTTCTGGCGGCCGCATAGGGAGCTCTTTAGGCGGCCGCAGGGGGAGCTGGCTGTTCTGTCTCTGCTCCCCAGTGCGCCGCTTAATGAGACCGGGGCCGGAATATGACGTCATATTCCGGCCCCGGTCTCATTAAGCAGTGCGCTGGGGAGGGGGAGCAGAAACAGAACAGCCAGCTCCCCCTGCGGCCGTCTAAAGAGCTCCCTATGCGGCCGCCTAAAGAGCCAGCTGCCTGCCTGGCCTAAGTGCCAATGGTTCACCGGGAAATTTCACGGTATCCCGGTGGGCCAGTCCGGCCCTGTATATAACCCTTTACATAGAGTGGCCACTGCAATGTAGTTACCTACACCCTGTTCCAAATTATTATGCAAATTCTATTTAAGTGTCACAAAGATTAAATATTTTGTTTTTCAGTTTAACTCAGGGATGGCATTGTGTCTCAGGGCTCTTTTGATCACTGAAAACAATCTCGGACACCTGTGATAATTAGATTGCCAGGTGAGCCCAATTTAGGGAAAAACTACTAAAGGAGGGTGTTCCACATTATTTTCATGAAATATGGGGAAGAAAAAGCATCTCTCTGCTGAGAAAAGAGTGAAATAGTTCAATGCCTTGGACGAGGTATGAAAACATTAGATATTTCATGAAAACTTAAGCGTGATCATCGTACTATTAAGAGATTTGTGGCTGATTCAGAGCACAGATGGTTTCATGCAGATAAAGGCACATTGAGGAAGATTTCTGCCAAATCCATGCATCGGATCAAGAGAGCAGCTGCTAAAATACCATTACATAGCAGCAAACAAATATTAGAAGCTGCTGGTGCCTCTGGAGTACCACGGACATCAAGGTGTAGACTCCTCCAGAGTCTTGCAACTGTGCATAAACTTTCTATTCGGCCACCACTAACCAATGCTCAGAAGCAGAAACGGCTGCATTGGGCAGAAAAATACATGAAGACTAATTTTCAAACAGTCCTGTTCACTGATGAGTGCCGTGCAACCCTGGATGGTCCAGATGGATGGAGTAGTGGATGGCTGTTGGACGGCCACCCTGTTCCAAAAAGGCAGCGACGTCAGCAAGGCAGTGGTGGAGTCATGTTTTGGGCCAGAATCATGGGAAGAGAGCTGGTCGGCCCCTTTAGGGTCCCCGAAGGTGTAAAGATGACCTCTGCAAAGTATGTGGAGTTTCTAACTGATCACTTTCTTCCCTGGTACAGAAGGAAGAACTATGCGTTCCGTAATAAAATCATCTTAATGCATGACAATGCACTATCTCATGCTGCAAAGAATAACTCTGCATCAATGGCTGCTATGGGGATAAAAGGAGAGAAAGTCATTGTGTGGCCTCCATCCTCCCCTGACCTCAATCCTATTGAGAACCTTTGGAGCATCCTCAAGCAAAAGATCTATGATCTATGATCTATGATCTATGTCCAAAAACTCACAAGTTCAATGTGAAGCTGCTATCAAATAAGGGGTCCTATGATAAAATGTAACATGA